GGTCAAGGCCCAGCTGCCGGAATCCGAGAGGGCCTGAAATGGCTCAGCTGCCGCTCTTTTGGAAAGTGAATTTCTAACCCAAAATGTGACCGGCGTGAGGACCGAAAATGACCCGCGCTGTAAAATCTCATGATTGTTGGGGAGTTGGACTCCAGGATTTTGACGACTGCTGAGTAGCACAAGGACAGGGATCTACCTTCTTTATACCCTTCAAGGGAGCGTTCCAAATCCTATTGGAATTGCCACAGCCCCAAGCCAGCCCCTGGCCCCCCGGGAGCACAGCATCCGCAGCCCGCTCCCGTGCCCAGTACAAATAGCTGCATCTCCCCAAAACAGTCCTGTTTGCAATGTCGGGTCTGGATTTGTCTTGTCATTTTTAACTGTGTATTTTTGTTTGTTCCCCTTCTGCCGAAGGATGAGCAGGAAATCGGGTACTGCTGCAGCCCCCTTTCCAAGCTGCTTCCTAAAACTTTACTTGTGTCAAGAGGACAAGCCGTTTTGTCCACCTATGAATTCCCAGGTTTCCACTGTACTTGAAACCTTTCTAAAAGAGAAGGCCAAGGAGTCTTGACGTGCAGCTTCTGCAAAGTGCGTTGTGAGTTGGCAAAGAGCAGGGATCTAGAGTGTTTGGGTTTTCTAGAACTGGTCTTCCTGCTGGGACTCCCAGCTCAGAGAAGAGCCTGTTCCTGGCTGTGTATATTGTCAATTAACATTTCTCTGCTTGGGCGCCCTGGCTCTCCCCCACTTTGAAATGTTACTTTTCTTTATATGCGAACATCGTGCTATGGTGATCTGATGTACAATAAATAAATACACCTCAACATCAGGAGCCAGCAGAGTTTACTTTGAAACTTTCCCCAGGAGCGAGAAGCAGATGGCAGGCTTTCCTGTTTGTAAATATTATTTGCATTGAGATTCATTTCTAGTTAGAAGAGCCGTGAAGGAATCTGTGCCAACGCCCTTTGCCTTGTCTCTGCATCTTCCGTGAGTGGCAGCACTTTGGAACAAGCATTAATGAGTCATTTATTTCACCACCCGGTGCCTGTTCCCCATTCTACAGATGTGTAAATGGAGGCACAGAGGTGAAGTGACCTGCCCAGGGCAAGTCCGTGCCAAGATGAACTGAACCAAGGAGATTTGACTCCTCGTCCTTTTCTTTACCCACTAGAGTCTCCCCCCACCTCCCCTAGAGCTGTGACTGAAACCCAGGCGTCCTGACCCCTTGTCAGGCGGTTACAGCCCAGGATGCTTCTGTGTCCCTGCCAGGTGTGTGGCTCTGGAACGCCCCAGCCAAGCTACTGGGCAGCTTCACTCCTCTCGGGTGCTGAGGCTTCCTTGTGGATTAATAGGTGGTGACTAAGCGCTGGCTTGTTCGCTGGGCCTGGGACCTGCCAGCAGGTCTGTCTCCATCGCTCCCGTGGCCAATTACCCGTGATACATGCACTGCTCTGAAGGCTGGGGCTTGCACAGACCTGACAGGGAGTCGCAGTGCAGAGAGAATATTGCACGGGCAGTCTGGGCCATGCCCTGGGCCAGAGAACCTGCCAGCCAGCTCCACACAGGAGCAGTGACTTCCACTCTGCCCCCAGCAGTACTATTCATTGGTGTGAACCATCCCCTCGTGGCAGGACAGGTCCAAGGGAGGGCACGGCGCCTTCCCAGCTCACAGCAAAAATTACTCACATGCACAGAGTTCTGCTCAGGCCCCTGCTCCTAATGGGGTGTAGCGGGACGGGGCAAAAGGAATTGCAGCTGTGTGTCCGTGTGCGCCTCCCTCTGGGTGTGCACATTCCTGGGTGTCAGCAGGCACCTGCCCAGTCCTGTGTGTGCACACACTAGCTGGCTGGGACCTGGCCAGGGTGGGGTGCCCAGACCCTCTGGCTCCCTTTCCTTAGCCCCCCCTTCCCCCTCGTGGGGCTGGCCTCTCCACTGGGGGGATGAGTGGAGCAGCAGGTAAAATCCAGCTACTCCCAGAGGTAAGTCCTGCAAGGCCGGCTGCTTTGTGAGTCCCGGCCCCTGGAAACTCGACCGGGCTGAGCGCTGGAGCACAGGGGACGTTCGGTCCCAGCCTGCAGGGCTGGCCCAGCTGTGCCCTAAAGGGAGTGTTGGGTCCTTCCTAGCCCACCAAGGATCTGTCCCCATGCTGCCCAATGCAGGTTGGGGGGGTGCCGGCGGGGGGGGGGGTTGTGACGGTTCCAGGGTGTCCGCTAGAAATGGCAGCACCAGGACACCTGGGCAGGGGAGGGGGAAGGAGAAGCAGGGGCAGGTACAGGGGACTCCGGGACATTCATTTAGCTTTTGGGTGCTGGGGCTTTGTCCTGCCTTCAAATCCTTCTGTGCCCTGGGGTTCCATTCTGCCTCACTGCTTACAACCCTGCTGGGGCACCAGGGCCCACCCCTTGGGTGAGGGCACCTACAATGGGGGCATTTCTGTGCTAAGGGACAGCCGGGGTATATGCTTCATCAGCCTCCCAGCTTCCACCACAACCGACAGCTTCCCCTATCTTAGAGGATGCTGGTTCCTTGCTGGCAGAGACCCCAAGTCTCTCTTTTCAGGGTGATCTAGCAGGCCTGGCTCTAGCGGGGGGAGTTTCTGGCCTGTCTGTTCCAGGGCACCTGCCCTGCCTCTGTTGGCCGCTCTGACAAGGAGCCAGGCTCCAGGGGAAACCTCCAGCGCTGGTACAAATTCTCCAGCAACTTGTTCAGAAATGTCAAGCTGCCGACTTCCAGGGAAGGTGTGGGCTGTTTGACTAAGTGGTGAGTCAGGCCGGCGAAGCCAGCTGGGTGTTTGTGTGTGTGTGTACGTGTGTATAATCTCTGGCTCTGGGGTTTATTCCAGGGGAAGATAGGGGTGTGTGTGTGTGTGTAATCGCTGGCTTGGGATTTTTATTTCCCAGGTAAGCTGGGTTTCTACAGCCTTCCTGTAACACTGGAATGGCTGGGTCTGGTGCTTGCTGTCCTAGGCATCTGCCAGCCAAAGTGACAGCTCACCTTCCCCGGTGAGCTCAGAGCTGAATCCTGCAGGGAGAAAAACCAGTTCCAGGGCCCCTTTCATCATCCCTTGGCCCTGCCAGGGAGTGCGTGGGAGGGAAGCGCAAGGCAAGGCCAGGACTCTTTCCTGCCTACCACTTAGCCCTTCGTTTGCACGGTGAGCTGCTCACAGCCCGTGGCGGGTGGTTCTTGTGGCATTCCTGGCACGAAAACCAGGAGAGGAGCCTTCCAAGGGGTGCAGGCAGTGGGAGATGTGGAGTTCAGGGCCAGCCCCACCCCCCGGGAGCCTGCCAGCCTGTCTTCATCCACACAGCAAGGACAGCACCCCTAGCCAAGGGCTGCCGCTGGGGCAAGACCCTTGCTGATAACCCTGCTCTTGGTGTTCAGACTCAGCTCTTCCTCAGTGCGTGTGCGGTGCCTGCTCAGCGGGGGCATTGCCGGGACCGTAACGTCAATCTCCACCAAGGGTTGAATTCAGTAAGAAGAGCCACTGAATCTGAACCAGCCCCAGAAAGCGGCAAAGCTGCAGAATCACTGAGCGGCTTGAGTAACATTTGTTAGCTCTTCTCCCCCACCCGGATCTGCAGGGGGACCCCAGGTCTCGGGGGAGAGGGGGAGGGATCCCACGTGCTCTGTGGCAGCACCAGGCTAGATAC